CCTGATGCGTCGGTAGGAAGTGGCGCTTGATGGGTAGCAAATCCCTCGTGTTCAGCGTCGAATTACCGGCGACGCTCCATCTCTGCTTCATAGCGTGCAGACTTGCTGCTTTTGATGCGGCCGCAGATGCGCCGGTGTTGATGTGGTCACGAAGGTCGCGAGGGAGGGGTTGATTGACCTCCTAGTTGTGGTTGCCACCCTGACCTCCCTAGGGGTGTGGAGGGCAGCCGTCGTGGCGTGAATGAGTTTCATAGTGGCCTCTTGATCCTCTATAGAGGTAGGGACCTCCAGCCTAAGGCCGGGGGCCCTCGTTGCCATGATGCTGGCCTCCTCCGTTGCGGTGGGAGCGGTGGCTATGAGCTGACGCGGTGGAATAAGATGGGGCGTCGTTTTGGAACTCATTGACTTGGACTTGCACAGCTATGATATGTGCTCGAACCTTCTCGACCTCTGGAATGTGGGGGAGTTTGTCAAGCTCATTGAAAGCGACAGCTAGATTAGCGCTTGGAGTCTGGTAGACTGTCTGGTCGCCCACTATGTCAAATGCCTCCTCCAGATTACGTTGATGGTGGGGCGGGCCGCGACCATCCTCGTCGGCCGGTTCGACTGCTTCTGAATCTCGATGACATTGGCGATCAGTGTTCTTCGCTAGACGAGCTTCACGCTCTTCAGCGGTTTCGCCATCCTTGGTGACGTTGTCGTGGCTAACATGGAAAATCATGCCCCCGAACCCCGAAGGGAAAGTAGGACAGCTTGATATGGCCTTGGTTGAGCCATCGGAATATTCGTCGGGCCTCTCATTCAGAACGTTGTGGAGAGATTCGGTCGGAAGAGAGGGATCATCCGAGAGCTGGCGAATAGCCACCATGTTGACCACGGGCGTGGGCTGATCGGAGTCAGTTGGGTCGATCACGTAGAGTTCGGTGATGTGGTCGCGCTCGACGTGGTCGACAAAGAGGTTGTGGACGGCATTCTGGTACGCAGATCCTGCACCCTCCTGCCCGAAGTGATAGGGCTTCGGCGGGTCCTCCGTCGAGGCCTCGTAGTCGGCCAAACGTAGGCTGGTAGCGGGAAGTGGTCGGTGCTGCGCCGTGCGCCCCTCTGGAGCGGCCGTTATCACCATATCGGAATACGGCCGCCTTGAACGATGTGGTCGAGCAGGTCGCTCAGTTGCAGCGGCTTGGTGATCTTGGAGTACGGGAAATTCGTCGCTCGCTCTAGATTGATCTAAGACCGAATCCACGAGGAGCTGACATTCCGCTAAGCGGTCTGTGATCCGATTGATGGATGCGATCAGATCATCATTGCTGATAGATCTCCTAACCCAGCGGCGGAGCGCTGGGATCGGAGATGTCGTTGTAGGTATTGGCGCGATCGACGCAGGGTGATCCTACACCGCCTCCACGATCTCCCCGTCGCCGTCGGGGCCGATGACCTAGGTCATGAATCCGATCGTGAAGATCTGGCCCGGCTCAGGAAGGGACATGGAGCTCGGGAAGGTGACCATCTGCTTCGCCATTAATTCAACACGCACACCCCCTACCTGGAGCGCCACTGTCGACGAAATCTGGTCGGCAGTCTACCGAGGGTTATGCCCACGGTAGTAGATGAATCAGTGGAGGTGCGCGTGAAGGAACCGGACGGTGATATAGAACACAAGAGACAATGATTAGGTAGGTTCAGGCCGTCGATTTAGCGTAATACCCTACGTCATGTGTCTTTCGGTTAGTTGTATTGCATATGATCAGATAAAAACGAGGGGGTCCCTACCCGCCTTATATAGCCCGGGGTAGGGTTACAGGTAGGTTGTTTCTATCCTGATCGGTTTACAAGATAGGAAGTTACAGATGTTACGGGATCTAGCATATCTGAGCAGGTTTTCTAGATCGCCGAGGATCTTCACGCAGTCTTGCGAGGCACGCCGACCTACGCCGCGCTTCGCACGGTGTCGTCTTGTAAGCTGGGCCTCCAGCAGTGGCGCGCCCCATGCGCGGTCTTGTGGGTTGGGCCTCTCCTAGCAGCTCAGCCCATGTACAGCCATGTGGGTATCGGGGGTCATACCCCCACAGTCTCTCATTCGATATACTAGTGCACTAGTTTAGGTCCTGTTTGGACTCCTCTAGTTTTTTCAGTTTTTAAGAATCTGACTTTTAAAAATTGGGTGGGATCTAAACAGGCTAATTTTTGCCGTTAGTTTTTGGCATATTCCTAAAAATAGGAAGCTGTTGTTGCCTAACTTTTCTCAGTTTCTTGTGACACATGGAGCAATAAATGAAGTCAAATCCTTAAAAACTAGAGGATCCAAACAACTCACCAGTTTTTGATCAACTAGAGATAAAAATTAGTTTTTAAGAATCGAAACCTGATCAAACAGGGCCTCAGCCATTCACCTCCAAAGAGCTCTGAAACTGTAATAATGCCATCCTTGTTCCGGTCGAAAAATTCAACGTGCTTTTGAAGAGCAGTCATGTTGCCAAAATCAATGCTTGCCTCCACATGCCCAACTAACGTAACAGAATATGATAATAGTATGTGAGAAAAAAAAAAGTGAGCAGCAATTGTCTTGCTAGCTGCATGCATGGGTACAGTTATGCCAAGACGTTGATGAGCATGCATGATTCTTGACCCGTAACTAAATCCATAATTCTTCAAGAACAAATGAGATAAGAAGATTAAAGAACAGAAATGATATACAACACACGTGTGTTTTAGTGAAAAAAAAATACATGGATTTTTTTTCCACAGGTGTTGCGCACGGCGCCGCTGTCGGCCACCGGCCGCTTCCTGTTCATGTTCCGCCTCGGAACGAGTTGGCGCCGGCGGGATGAATGATCGATTCAGGCGGTATCTAGCTCGATCATCAAGTCACCATCATCAGAACGAACGACAACGCACTCCCGCTAGGCACCTGGCAGCACTTGATGTGATGGGCAGCCGTCCGGTGACCTGCGACGGCGACACCTCCTCGATCTCGAACCCGATGGAGTGCAGCACCGGGTCAAGCTCCGCCATCTTCTTCCCACTCTCCTGCTGCTGAGGCGGCGGATGATGATCCATGGCGGCCTGGACGGACGACCGGCCGGCCCGACGGCGAGAGCGAGGGAGACCCTGATGATTTGTCCTGTTCCGGATCGGAGCGGGAGCACCGCTTCCTGTTCCTGTTTTAGTGGAAAAAACCGAGTTGTGCATAGAAAAAAATTATTTATTGTGATATGTAGATCTGTGATATTGTGATCTGTGATTGTCTGAAGGTAGAAGAAAGCTGGAGGTAAAAGGAGGATGGAGGCTGTTGGATTTTAATTTTATGGTATAAAAAAATTCATGTGTTAAAACTGCATAAAACATATGGTTGTTGGGTAGACATACTCCTAGACTACTCCGTGTTTACCAAGAACTTACAGCTAAAGACCCATAGAAACAGAACCACTGTCATCATCACTGGTGGCAAATATGAAGAAGCTGCTGCCGGTGCACGCTGCCGACCCGCCATTGCCACCGGCTATTCCTTCCTCTGCAGGTTGCAGTGGTGTGTGATTTTGAGAGTGCACGTCACAGCAGGTAGCGTCCCATGGCTCGGCTTAATAAGTAGCTCCCGGAAGAACTAGCAATGAATCAGAGGTCATCCTCATCCTGGTAGTAAGCAAGGAACAAACTGAAGCCGCATGTGAGCCAGTCGGATATGTGGTGTTCCTGGTGGGTGATCCGCGGCAACCACAACCATACAGGCACAATCTTCTCATTTCCCACAGGCTACTCTCACCATCTCAAAATAAACACAAATCTCGCCCACATAGGCTTCTCTGTCTATCTCAAAATAAACACACATCTCGCTTTTCAAAAAGTTAAACATTCTAATATTTGACTAAGCAGGTAAAAAATAGTATCGATATTTGTATCTCTAAATAAGTCTATTATAAAAGTATATTTCATACTCTATCTAATGATACTTTTTATTCATCATAAACACTAATAATTTATCACTTGTCCTATATTTTAGATGCCTGAATTTTAAGATGATTTCAGACAATACTCTTGTACAACCAACTAGTGCAAGTGAATTGTTACTTTTGTGATCTGTTATTTGTCTTTGTATCATAACATATCAATTTTATATTGTCTTTGTCTAACTATATAATTAATTGTTAGTTGTCTTTGTGCTAGTACAAATCAGATTTTGTTAGGTTTAGAGTTTTATCTAACGAGTTTTTTATTCTCGAAACAAAAAATTGCAGATTATGCCTACATAAATTGCACTAACTAAAGCTGCAATTTTAATATAAAAAATATACAATAACCGTCGCCGGAAAGGAAGCTAAAATTCAGGCACTTGAATTTTAGCAAGTCCTATAATTTATATATATTTGGTCAAACATTGAAATGTTTAAGTCGTCAGGAATTAAGCTTGCTACCTGTGTTTGTGTTTTGTTGTCGAAAACTCCTGACCACGTAAGTGACCACTTCGTCACGCTTTCTGGCTGTCCTTTTGAGGTGTTTAATCCAATTGTTCCAGACCACCAAAGCTTGATCTTTGTGCTCGATGTGGTTTGATTGATCAGTAAAAGCGGCTAATGCTGATGCTGATTTATTGTGAGAGAAAAACATTACTATTTCGCTGAAACGGTACAGCTGGTAAGTTCAAGTGAACAGGGCCTTGGCTAGTAATGACCAGACCATACGTGAAAAAGGAAAAGTCGGCGACTAGGTGCTTTGGCGATCCAATTTCTGCTTTGCATAGTTGGCAGATAGGAATTGCTTGGCCACCTCGCCGGATGATTGTGTCTGAAGTCAAAATCTTTCATTGAGCAACAACCAGCACAAGAATCTGCACTTTGGTTCTACCTTTGCCTTCCATAATTTCTCCCAAGGCCTATAACACAATAATCACAACAAATACTGTACAATATAACATTTGATTCAAATAGCAATCTCTTAATTGCCTAATACACTTTTGCACATGTTTATTATTACGTTCATTGCATCTGACTGAATGCTGAACTCCATCACATATCGCTTCTTGCAGACGACGTCCTCTGTTCCTCCAACTTGTAAAACACACTGCCATCATATATGCCTCTTGCAGAGTCCTTGTGAAGAAATCCTTGCTTATCACTTGCAAGCTTGTATATTAGTCCCCATTCTCCTTCAGGTGCAGACCTATATAGATAATCATATAGGCTATATTATTTACAGGGAAAGGAAATTTAGATGAATCGAGAAAATGATGTCTTTAACTTTTTGTGTAGTGTCTTATTTAGAGGGAACGCATTGCAACTCATTAGTAACAATAAATCAATGCATATTACAAAAATTACCATGATTGGGGGTCTAATGGATCTCGATTTGCTAGAATCATCTCCTCAATCTCCTCGGACGTTAACGCATCTGGCCTTACCTTTGCATGTTTTGTGAATATTTCTTCAAACTTTGGAGGAACAAACCTACAGTAATAGCATGGCATGTTTAGTATGCAGGTAAATTTGAGAAAATTTTAAAAAAACATAAAATGGTGTTATTTGTAGTCATGTGGCATGTTTGTACAACATATATAATAATGTAAATGTTATTTGCAGGGGCAGATCTAGCGGTGGGGCGGGTGAGCCTCAAGCCCCTCCTACCATCTCTATGATAATAAAGCCCCTTCTAACTTTTTAAGATATGAGAAGCTTTAGAGGTTGAAGATGACTTTAGTCCCCTCTTCCATTAAATCCTAGATCCACCATGGTCATTGGTACATATAATCTTAATCCAAAGTAATGATGCACTCTGTCATTTGTATATATAATGTTGATCTGACGTAATAATGCATTCTGTCACTTGTACACAGTTACCTTCCTTCAGCGTCGTATGCACCTGTATCACTTCCATGCATTGCTTTATGGATATACTCTACGTATATCGATAAATGAGGCAGTCGTGCATCATCCTGCATTGATTTTTTTTTTAAGAAAAGGCAGACAGAATTAAGTTTCTTACTATTACGTGCGAATCAACAAATCAAACTCATTTGTGTACGTATATGGGGTGTGTGTGCACTCATCGTGTATGGATTTGTTTTTCTGGATAATAGTATTTTAATGGACAGCTACAGAAATCATATGAATACAAGCAAAATTGTTGTAAACGCATGGCGACAGAGAGGGCTTATCCACATTCAAAATATGAAAATGTTGCCCCGACTCGGCCATCTGTCGCTGGCTCGAATGGAGGAGATGGGTTAATAAGAGGACAATTTGGAAATTTGTGGAAAAAAACCAAAAGTTTTGGTTAGATAATGGCAAGAATTTGATAGAAGCGGCATGAAAGGGATATAGATTGAAATCAGTTGCACTAGGAGGAGGTAAACTTTTTCTCAACCACATAAGAAGATTTATAAATTTATTACAGGCATATAAAAGGAATTGACTCATCAGCCATAGTCCTACGTTTGTTCAAAATTCTCATTTTATATGTTTTAAAAAAAAGATTTAGGTCATAAGTTGAACTCTTATTACTACGATGGCATGAACGGTTAGTTGAGCAAGGATGGAACTCCATTGTTCCATAGAGTTATGCTGACCCAATAACTTTTGTTATTTCCACTACAATCTTCTCCATAAAAATTATAGACCTCTCTTCTAATAGACAAAATAGCATTGCCACTTAAAGAGTGACCCAAGTGAATCCGGTGATATAAATTCTAAAGAGTGACCCAAGTGAACCCGGTGATATAAATTCTAGCAAGAGGACATGTTGGGTACTCCACACTCTAGGATTTTACTATTATTAGTTGTAGTATCCATATCCACGTTAACTCTCCGGACACATGTAAGGAAAGAAAAAAAAATTCTTAAATTCTAACAAAAATAGAAAACATCTGGTGATTTCATCATTGATAATAATAACCATTTGATCTAATCTGTTTCAAAAAAAATTACCCACTGCCTCTGCCATTGTGAACACAGTCAATAGTGATTGCAAAATCTTCATCTAAATAATCAACCGTTGTCATTATGGAAAAATAACATAGACAAACCCTCTAAATAAAAATCACCTACACGTAACATGATAGAAAAAATTATGCATAAACTCTTAGTACTTATTAATCAAATCCATTTGATGAAGGGACAGGTTCCTATTTGTCTGCCACAAATGGATATTATTTCGGCTATTATTATGCGTTAGAGTAGTATTCCTCTTTCTGAATTGTAAGTCATTTGTATTTTTCTACATACATAGTTTTTACTATGTATCTATGTACGTGGATATAATGTTTATTAAGATGCGCTGCAAAAACATCTTAACTACAAAAGTGAAAATAACTTATAATTTGAAAGGAAGTATTTATTAAATAAAAAATATGTGTACGTGAGAGTGTGTGTGTGTGTGTGTGTGTGAGAGAGAGAGAGAGAGAGAGAGGGAGGGAAGGAGAAAGAGCAGTGGGCTGTACAGGGCTTGTTTTTGGACCAACACCAGCACTGACGGATGCGGCTTGTTTTCTGGCAAATACGGCATCACATCCAATTGCAACATATCCTACAACACCAAGTATGAGCTCAAAGTATGATAGAAAATTTTAGGCGGTCGTTAAACTGCTAAAATGTACATATGAAATTATGAATGAATTTTATTATTTTGTGTTATTAAACTCGCTGGTAGAAAATTATCCATGACTAGGACCTGAGACGTGGTCACGTGGATAAGCAGAATTAATTTATTCCGTCCATTTTAAAATATAGTTTATAACATATTTCTGGCTAACACAACGTAAATAAATATCAAAAGTTCAAATGAGTGACTTGTGCCAGAACGAGACACATGTTTAAAATTCTCATGATAGAAACTGTAGAGGGTAACATAGACGTTTAGGAATATGTGAAAAAGATCAGGGGAGAATAACGGGAACGAACTATTTTTTCGCGAACGTGCATTTGTGCGTATTTTAAGAAGACGGAAACGAACTATATATAAGTTAGATATGATATGCCGATCGGCCAAGTGAGAAGTACGATTCTTTTGTCCTTTTAATTATATGACAGGAAAGATCCGACAGAGAAAGCAACTCGTCATATATAACACAAAAGCTATAGCCTACATATATAGGTCTCTGATTCGATATACTGCACTAGTTTAGCCATTATTCACCTTCAAAGAGCTCTGAAGTTGTAATAATGCCATCCTTATTCCGGTCGAAAAATTCAACATGCTTTTGAAGAGCAGTCATGTTGGCAAAATCAATGCTTGCCCACATGCCCACCTTACATATAACAGAACAAGATCACAGTATGTGAGAAAAAAAATTTGAGCGGCAATTGTCTTGCTAGCTGCATGGGTACAGTTATGCCAAGACGTGATGAGCATAATTCTTGTCCCGTAAATCCATAATTCTTCGGGAACAAACGAAATAAGAAGATTAAAGAAATAGAACTCCGCGTTTACTTACAGCTAAAGACCCACAGAAACAGAACCGCTGTCATCACTGGCGGCAAATATGAAGAAGCTGCAGCCGGTGCGCGTTGCCGACCCGCCATTGCCACCGGCTATTCCTTCTTCTGCAGACTGCAGTGGTGTGTGATTTTGAGAGTGCACGTCACAGCAGGTAGCGTCCCATGGCTCGGCTTAATAAGTAGCTCTCGGAAGAACTAGCAATGAAGCAGAGGTCATCCTGCATCCTGGTAGTAGGTACTAGTCCTTTGGCTCATTTATGATTGATGTTGATCTTCCCGACCACGAATTGTTCTGAAAAGAGGAGCATGTAAGCAAGGAACAAATTGAGGCCGCATGTGAGCCGGTGGGATATGTGGTGTTCCTGGTGGGTGATTGGCGGCAACCACAACCATACAGTGAGAATCTTCTCCTTTCCCACGTAGGCTACTCTCTCGGTCTCAAACTAAACGCACATCTCGCTTCTCGAAGAGTAAAACATTCTTAAATTTAACTAAGTATATACTCTATCTATTCTAAATTATAAATCATTGCAACTTTCTTATAGAGTCAAAGTGTTGACGTTGAAGACCTCAAGCCAACACACTAGCGAGGGCCCTGGACGTCCAAAGAGGTTGCACACAACCTGCAACGCAGCAAGAATGCAGCGTAATCAACCAAACTGATCTAGAGACCGATAAGGCCGATGTAGAGCCCGTTCTTGACTGAAAACGCTCTCGAACTACTCCTGGGAAGACCCGTCGGGGAGGAGCACGTGGAGGATCTCCTAGACTAGCAAGGCCGCCTAGGATGTTGACAAATCTCGTCGGGAGACGTGCTGAACAGCAGGAGGGGTTGAGAGAGGGGAATTAGGGCAAAAGGAGTTGATATGTTGTGTTTTCGACGATTGGATAGATGGGAACTCAATCGGTCGTGATTCTCTCATATATATAGGGGGGTTGGTCTTATCCTAGTAGGAAACATCTTCAAGACGCGTTCTCCAAGTTTCCCACATAAAAAATATACCAAAAACCGATTTTAGGAAGTCTCCTACTTGGTTTCCTGGCGGGGTAGGCTTAGCCGACAAGGGGAGTCGGCTAAGCCGACTTTTGTGGGCTCGGGCAGGTGCCTGGCTGGCTGGTGAAGGTGAGTCAGTTTAGCTGACTCTGGCAGTCGGCTAAGCCGACTAGGGGGGTGACAGGGTCGGCTAAGCCGACTGGCTATGGTTCGTCGTCTTCTCCGCACGTTTCGTTCGTTATTTTGCCGTGCCACTTGACCTAAAACTTGTCCAAGATGTTTATAACTTGTCCATGGTGCCCAAAACCACCTTCGGACATTTTTTAGTGTCAACATATGCCCTCTGTTTTGAGGTGAATGATGCACGAACCTGAAAACACTTAATCAAACAAAATAAAACCGAACGCGATGATACCCATCTCATCGGCTTCCCAGCGACTAAGGGCGGTGTATACATCAGCCTTTTTTTGTTCTAAGGACGATATATTTATCGGCCATTGCTTGGAGAGCACTTAGGCTTCTTGCTAAACACTTGGAAAATACTTTTTTAAGTACCTCCTGTTGAATGCTCTTGTGAGACATTCACCTTGCAATGTTTCTAGCAAATAAGAATTACCGAATATGATTTTGATCACTCTGTAAGGACCATCCTAATTTGGTGACCACTTGCCAAACTGATTGCTTTTCGATCCAATTGATAGTATGGTTTTCCACACTAATTCTCCCACTTGGATGGATTTGCTCTTGACTTTCTTGTTGTATGCTTTGGCAACTCAAGCTTTATCTTTCTCTATTTTCTTGAGAGCTTTTAATCTTACATCAGTCACCTCATTGATGTTATCCATCATCAAATCATGATACACAACAGCTAATAGATCATTTTGTTTAGCAAGCCTGTATGCATCCAAATTCACCTCGACGGGCAACACGACCTCTTGATCATATACTAACTCAAAAGGAGTAACCTTTGCAGCACCATGCCTTGAAATGCGATGTGCACATAGAGCTTCAGACAAAACTTCATGCCTCTCCTTGGATTCTTCTCAATCTTCTTTTTATAAGCTTGATCAAAGTCTTATTACTAGACTCAGCTTGGCCATTAGCTTGAGCATAATATGGAGATGGATTGAGCAACTTGATCTTATATAATTTAGCAAATTCCCTCACCTCCTTCGACACAAAAGATGTCTCTTGGTCTGTACTTAATGTTTGAGGGATGCCGAATCTATGGATGAAATGCTCAGTAGTGAACTCAGTTACCTCCCTGTGTGTCATATTCTTCAAAGGTGAAAGTATCTAGGCCCCCAGTTGGGTTTCGGTGATTAATGACAACACGAGATTACTATGACTAACGTGTGTTTTGTAGAGGCAATTTAAGTTATGTCATGGTAATAGAAATTGATTGGCAATCATGGTTGTCATGCCCCTGTCGATGGAAATCGTTTTAGTTTTCGAAGGATGGACGACAAGGTTAAGGATGAACTAGTTCTAAGTGTCGTTTGGTGTTGGAGA